CAGCGCTCGTACTAGTACCTTGTAATACTCCTGAGAGAAAATCATGCGCCATCGCATAACACACTCAATCCTGATGCTCACGAGTCCGTGCCAATTAAGGCTACCCATGCCGACGCCTTTAATCAGCTGCTTGGCGCTGGCGACTCAGGATAGGGCTAACACTGGTCGCCGAATACTGAGAAGCCGTCGGCCAGCAACAGGAAACCATCAAGTGTTACAATGCAGGTGGTCGCTCCAATGGTTGCACCAGCGGCAGCGACACTTGGCTCAATCGCTGCATCAAGAGCATGGGGCGAAACTGGGCGAGACCTAGCCAGAACCATGCCAGAACTGGAGCGTGCGAGAAGCGACGGCAATGGGAGCAGGCGGTGGTAGCCGCAATCAACAACAGTCCCAGTACTGTGCGTGCGCGAGGGGGCGGCAATAGCAGCAGACAGCGCAGCACGTGGTCGCGACGAGCTGCAGGCTCGGACCCCCTGCGTGCGAGATGGGCCAGCGCGAGCAGTGGCTCCCTGTGGTCTAAGGCTGTCATCAGCTACAGGCTCTGAGCAGCGAGGCGAGAATGGCCAACGGTTGCAACAGGCACTTTGGCGCGCAACGGGATTCATACGTCATCAGCTGCTTGCTCTGTCAGGGGTGAGCGAGAAGACGCAGCTAGAGGCCTCCTAGATAGAGTCCGAGTAGATGGGGTCGGAGGATCTCGCCGCATCGCCGATGCATCGGCGATACATCGGCGATGCATCGGCCATGCACTCGCCACGCCGGCGATGCATCATCGACGTCGGCGTGGAGAACATTGGGTCCCATGATCCCGCGACCCCATCTGGGAGGCCCGAAGCAGCAGAGAACGGTGCACACGGCAACTTGCAGACGTCACCAACTGCGGGCTCGGGGCCGTGGCACGTGCCCTATACTGCAGCTACTGCAGCTGGTCGCGGCCTCGGTGGCGGCTTCTGCTGTTGTGGAGGCGTCGGCAGTGGCAGCCTGGTGGGTTGCCAATCCCGGGTCGGGCGAAAGGGGGGGATAACACAGGGGGGCTTGAGAATCAGCTCACGTAACTGATTCTCCCGGCGCCTCCCGGCGCCCATGTGTATCGAGGAACGGGCCCGGCGGCGAGGCCGAAACCAGCAGCATGCAGCAGATTTCGTACCCCCCCTTCCCCAATCCCCCCTATTTCGTCCGGCCCGACAAGCAGAACAGGGCCCACCCCACGACCCCTCACGCCAGAGAAGGGGCCAGGGCGGCAGACGCGGCGCCTGGTGGGCAGCAGCAGCTGGGCTGCGAGGCGCAGGAGGCTGTCCCTGCCGACCTCCTGTGCTGTGGCACTGTGAAGAGGTGAAACCAATGCCTAACGCCACCTGCTACGACGCTGTCAAACAGGTGACGCCACAGCCAAATGTCACCAGCTACAGACGACGCTGGGAACAACGAGGACGGTGGACAATGGCAAGGAAAGGCAATGGCAGCAAGGAGCCGGAGCAGGAGCGAAAACCGTTATATCAGCTACAGCGATGAGAGCGACCAGCGCGATGCAGAGGGCAAAGGCAGCGGACGTGGAAGTCCCGCGCGCCCTCGAACACGATCTCGACTGGAGACACAGTGCAGGGCAAGTGGGGCAAGGAACGCTACGATTGCACTGTTTTGGATCCGACCGAACAGACCGCCTTGATACGTTGGACGGACGGTCCGCGATCGCGATGTGGCAACGACAACTACCTGCCCCGCTATGTCATCTGCAGGAGGACATGAGCCTCCAGACGTCATCAGCGACGGCGCTGGGGCGTGCCATTGAGGAAGGTTGGACAGTCGACCAGGCAGAGCACACAGCACCGAAGAGCTGCGGTGCAAAGCTGGGCTGCGAGAAGGGTGGCAAGCTGCGACATCTTTATCTGAGCTCGCGAGTTACTTAATTTAGTCTCCCCCTCCTCTTTCCCTCCTCCTTCGGCATCGATGTTGTCTCCACTCCTCCTCCCCCTCTCGGAAAATGGTGGTACGTACTATCCGGCGGCGGGAACTGGCAGCCGCTACTGTAGGCTCCCCCCTCTTCTTTTCCTGCTCTTTCGGCATCAATAGTGTCTCCCCACCTCCTCCACCTCGGACAGTGGCGGTACGTACTACCCGGCAGCGGGAAATGGCGGCGTGCGCGGCCGTCGTCTCAGCGCTGTGGAGTGATGTCGAGGCGGGCGCAAGCGTTTGCGAAAAGGAGAGAGAGAGAGAGAGAGAGAGAGAGAGAGAGTGAGAAAAAAGAGAGAGAGAGAGAGAGAGAGAGAGAGAGAGAAGGAGAGATGAAGAGGGGGCGGGGAGGAGGGGGAGGAAAAGGGGAGGGTGGAGGAGGGAGGAGGAGGCAACAGCAGCAGCAGCAGGAGAGCATAGGCTCGCGGTCCTCCGCGAGGAGGTGAGGGGGGGGCGGGGGCGAGGAGCCCGCAAGGGGGGGGGGGGCAGGGAGAGGCAGGCACGGGCGCGAGCTGCGAGCTCGTGCCGGGCAGGCGCCACAGCTCGCCTGGCCACGTTGTCGAAGCAAACAAACCCGAAGCCTCGGAGCAGTCTTTTGATCTGCGGCGTCGGCCCGGGGCGCCAGCCGGGGGGGGGAACTGGTATCAGGTCGGGCGTGTCCCCCTATAGGTATATTTTTTGGGGGAGACTCAGAATAGTGAAAAAATAAGAGCTCAGAAATGTGCAACTAATAATGATACTAAGAATAATCAGCATCACAACAATAACAATAATAATAATAATCAAGCATCGCCCCCAGACTATTGTTGGACTATGTTTGACCACTCCTCCTGTAGAGGGGCATGCCCGACTGAACACTGGTAACATCCGCAGGTCGGCGGGCGCCACACGTTCGAGGCGCCGCTCGCGGGGGCGGGGTGGACGGGTGCCGTGCCCATGGAAGGGGGAGAGGCGGGGGCCTGAGTAGACAATCGGGGGGGAGGGAGAGGGGGAAGAGGAGGAGGAGGAGAGGGAGGGAGGAGGGGGAAGGAGGAGGAGGAGGGAGAGGAGGAGGGGGACCAGAGTAGACAACGAACCCAAGATGTACCCACAATGCTGCATGTATACCTGGTCGTCCCAAGTCCCCTCCTCGTAAGCCCCTGCACATACACCTGGTCGTCCGAAGTCCCCTCCTCGTGAGCCCCTAGTGCACCTTCCTTCTGACTGCACGCCACAAGCGTCCCGTCAAAACCCAGCACCCTATGGGTCCTCGCGTTCAGGCGAGGGCACCCTTTCGAAACGGAACGGCCCTGCATGCTTCGAGCGACTCGTCCGCCGGCCCTGCCTGCCGGAGGGGAAAGGCGTGGTTGACAGTCGGCTGTCCCCTTCACCCCTTTCCCCCTCCCCTGGGGCCCCAAATCCTGGCAGAGGAGCGCGGCGCCAGTGGGGGGCGGCGACGAGTTCGTCAACGCACCTCTGGGGCCCTCGGAGCCTTCGAATCCGCCCTCCCGTGGAGGCCAAGATGCCCCAACTGCCCTCTAATGCAGTTCCAAAAGAGGCTCCATCTCGCCGGAGAGGCCTCAAGAACACCCTGGATGCCCTCAACATGGCCTAAGACGCCCCAAAACGATCCCAAGAAGATCCCCCAGGAGAGCCTAAACAAAACAAGCACCGCTGATTTTACATACGCTTGGGCTTTGGACGCCCGGAATTGGTGCGGTGAAAATTGGCACGATGCCCGACAGCAGATGTTGTCCCAAACCGACAGCGGCAACTTTGGATGAGCAGGGACCGACAGTCCCGGCATTCCTATAGGCCTACCACGACATGTTCTCAGAACCCCAAAATGGTCAAACAACAAAAGCAATGACCTTAGAATATGAACACGATGTGTTAATACAAGACGGTCTCAGCCAGCATTGTTCTGAGAACGCCTCGTGCAGACCACACAAGGTTCTTAGGACATTCTTTGGTGGGCCTGCAGGCAAGCCAGGACGCTTCGCCACTGCTCGACAGATGTTGTCCAACATCGACAGCGGCCACTGCTGGGCAAACGGCCTCCTGTCTCACACGGACAACGACCGCGGCGAGACGCCGACGGACCAAGGACGGCGGCCTCGCCACGCCGACCTGCCCCGGGCGGGGCCCGCAGAGGACCTCATCTTTTCGCTTTTGGGCAGCCCGACGCGCGCCAACGCGCGCCCATACGGCGTACCCATGCCGATCGTCCAGATGGCTTTCTGGATGCTTTTTGCGCTCTCGCCTTTCCTGGCCCCCGAGAGATCCAGAACGACCCGCTGGCCCCCCCCAGAAACGGCGCGAGACAGGGGCACCCGAAAAGGCCGAAACGGCGATGTGGAGGGCCCCGAGATGGGGAGCTCGCAGGGAGCTCGGGGGCCAGGACGGCCCAATGCCTTTGAATTACCTCCAAAATGCCCCCAGGACCCCCCCCCGGGGCCACCCAAGGCCCCGGGAACCCTGGAACACAGACTCGTCCACAGGAGCCTCGGGGCCAACTTGTAGGCCCGCTGCGTCTCAGGGCCGGCGCCCGCCACGCGACCACTGATGACCCTGATCCAGACATGGGGGGGCGGAACAAGAAACCCGCATTGCACCAGCATGCAAACGTATCCGCTTGTGCGACCGCGCAGACGCGCGCCGCGGCTCGGCAGAGAGGCCCACCACCGCGACGCGCACAGGAAACGTCAAGCCTCCACGAGACAACGGCGAGAGACTACAGACAACCCGACGACGACCACGAGTCCACTGCCCCTCAGGGAGGCCGCAAAACACTGAGAAACAACACGTGTGGCTCAGGCTCCAGCCCTTCGTTTGTTTCCCCACCGTCAAATAACAAGTGATTAAAAGGCAGAAGAAATATTCTCAGTGGCCTCCGCAGGAGCCTTAGGGCGAACTTGCAAACCCGCTGCGTGGCAGGGTCGCTCTTGGGATACCCCTGGCGCCAAACGCACCCGAGAGAGTGCCAACTGGCAGCGTAGCTCATTGTGGCAGGATGATGGAGGCATTTTTGTTTTCCTCTGACGCACGCGCCCACTGCGCAAAGATCCTCACTCACCGTCTGATGAGCTGAACTGATTGATCAACCACTGCGCTACCTCTAGCCCTCCGCGGGCACGCGCGCTGGCACGTCCAGACGCACTCAACCCGCGCCAACCCCCTGAATGGAAGAGCGCCGTGGGCCCACCTGCTGTGAGGGTGTCCGAGGCTCAGCCTCTCCTGCACACGTGCGTGCCCCAGGCCTCCAGCGAGGGCAAAGAGCGCGCTGCTGCTGCCAAGGCTTCCGTTTCGACGCCCATCGCGGTCGCGCTAAGGGCCTCGGCGGCCGACTCCTTGTCATCCAATTGCCGGCCGAGGAGGCCTTGGACCACTTGCTGGTCGAGCGCGGCCACGCCATCTTCGGCACCTCTCTCCAGGCCCTCCGCCTGGCCGCTCGCTTTCCCCGTTCGCCCCTCTGGCGCTCGCGCGTGGCTCACCACGCTGACTCGCCCGGGCTGCTGCCTGTCTGGGTCCGCGCCGGGCCCTCCCTCGATCCCTGGGCCGCGGCCGCCGTGGCCGGGATCGTCGCCTCCTCCGCCCTCCCCCCCTACTTCGACGCCTCCTCCCCCCGAGGTCAGCACGTCCTCCGGGTCTGCGCGCGCGCCCGGCTGCTCCAGGAGCGGCCCCAGCGGCCGCGCTACGACGAGGAGGGCCTGGGGGACGTCGACATCGAGGCCTCGTCGAAGCTCCCGTGGAGCTCCTGGCGCGCGGGCCTTGGTAAGGACGACCTCAGGCTCCTGCAGGTCTGGCGCGGGGGCGCCTCTTGCACCCCGACGCGGCGGGCCGACGGCCAGGCCCCCTGCCCGTTCTGCGGGCACGCCGCCGCCTCGGCCCGGCACTTCTGGGCCGAGTGCCCCCGCTTCGGGCCCGACCGCGCCGCCCTCGGTCGGAGGTGCGGCGTCGCTGAGGCCTGGTGGGCTAGCCAGCCTAGGGTCACAGCCAAGACTGGCTGGATCACCTTCGCCGCCGGCTCCAGCACTGAGGCCCGGTCGCGCCTGCAGGTGATGGCGTGCGAGCTCGGGATCCGCATCCTGGGCGCGCTGCCCCGGGACGCCGTCCCGGCCCCAGCTCGCAGAAGGCCTGCGGATCGGCGGCCCGCCGCGGCCGGCCCTGACGGTGCTCGGGCCTCGAAGCGGCGGCCTGCGCCTCCCTCTCCCCCTCCTGACACGGCTCAGGCGGGCGACCAGGCTGAAAACGACGACGGCATGTGCTGCGACGCCGACATCGCTGACGACCCGCCCCCGCCCCCGCCCCCGGTCGGTGGTGAGGTGGTGGTCGGTGCGCCCTGCACGAGACGCACGCGGGAAGTGTCTCCCGTGCCCCTGTCGCCCGGCCGCCGCTCGCGGCGGAGGGTGGAATCCCTGCCGGAGAGGCCCCGGCGACGGCTTCGCCCTACCTCCTCCCCTCCCTCTCCTCGACGGACCCGGTGTCGGAGAGGTTGAGTTGGTTTGATTTTTTAGTTGTTTTTGGGGTCTCCCATGTTTTCTGACTCCGGCTAGGCTTTGCGTGGCCGGATTCTTCCACACCTTTAATTACTTTCTCGGCCTCCGGCCGAGGGCGTCAAGGCATCATGAAGCCTGTCAGCCACATCATCCTCTAAGCGCGGCCACGCCGAGGCTGCTGGACTCAAACGGCGCGCCCGCCGAAGGCGCTACAAAATCTGCCGCGAAAAGATCGCGCGCAAAGCCAGGGTCCGCTGAGAGGAAGATTGGCGAGATCGGCGCCTGCGCAGCACTGCCAAACCAGTGTCGCGCGAAGGCAGACCCCGCCGCCCCAAACGGGCGCGCCAGGAATTCGAGCACCTTATCTCATGGTGCTGCCTCTGCCCGAGTAGTCACTGCAACGGGCGCATGATCGGATTGAACCGGCATTGTCTTAAACGCTCATTGAAAATCTTCCTTGCGGAAGCGCGGGCTTGCTCTGGTTTTCGCCATTGCGCGTGCCCGCGCCACCCCCGCGGAAGTGTCGAGCGAGTCGTGCTGCGTGACTTCGGGGATGACGGTGGCGCCATTTGCCCCGTCGGTCGTGAAATCGCTTATGGCGCGCGCCCCTAGCGCGCCCGCGCGGCTTCCGACTCCCGCCAGCCTTCGTCGACGGGGAATCGGGCAGTCAAGAGCGAGCGCGCGCGCGAAAGGCGCGCCGAGTAAGCTTTCTGTTGGACCACTTCCCCCGAACACTTTTGGCAGAAAACTTCACTGAGAGACCTGTCTGGCACAATCGACCTACGAACTCTCGCCGAAGTCGCGGCATTCTGCACGCTTGTCTGTGCCTCTGAATCTGCGAACCGCGCGGCGACATCGTATCGCAAAGCTTTGAATATCGAACTGCCGCAAGGCTTCGGTTGCCCCAATATTGACAAGCCGTGCGACAAGCTATGTACGAGAGCGGCCGCGTCAAGCCACCGACTGCTCAACAACACTTCTGAAATAAGCATGCGATTTCTCTCCGGACCAATCGCTTGACTGACGTGCGGTGGCAAATCCTGCGCAGCACGCTGCCAAGCTGTCGCGCTTCCCAGAAAGATGTTTGTTCCAAACCTGTAGCG